TACTCTGAACTTGAAATGTCCCTGCTTTTCATTTCAGAAATCTGGTCACCTTATCTGAGATTAAATGGAAATAACAACTGCGTGATTTCCCCTAGCTGTTTTTAATTAATGTAGTTTGTGAAAGTTACTGAGCACTTTATTGGACTTCAGAAGTAATGTGAATGAGTGAGGGGCTTAATTTAAGTTAGCACTTTTCTTCATCTCAACAGTGTTCACTGCAGCTAGATGGGCAAATGACTCCCTCCTGTGATGGAATCAAGTGGGTGAGAATGCAGTGATCTGATTTATCAAATAGATTTTGACTAGGGTTTTGCTCATTTGAGTAGAGTGAAATACAAAGCTTATGTCTGAACAGTGAATTACGCACAATAAACTGGAGTTGTCAGAACCTGATCATGTGAGAGGATGTCATTGTAGCTCCTAATTTCTTTTCTTTGTTCACAGATTCAGCATTCAAGATTCAGATTTGAAGTTCAAGATCCACATTTACAGTTTCACACTGCATGTTTGATACCAACATTCTGTTCCATTTTCCTTTTGAATTAAAGCTTCCTTTTCTCTTCTCTTCTGGGCTTGTTTTATTTTTGTTATATTAGTAAAATGGATGTAGCAGTGATAGCCAGCATTAGCTGGTATAGCATATTCAGCAGGTTACTGGCTGTTAAAGTTAAATCTCTGCACTGCCTCTTCAGCTATAAGACTCTCTTCAGTCCCTAAATCTTTCCACTCAAACACTGATTTAATAAATTTTTGCCATCCTGTGTCTGTAAAAGGAGTGATTGGTCCATCTTTCTGAATTATATGCATACAGCACTCCATTTCTTATGCTAATGTAATGCTAGCAAACAAATAAAAAAAATAGCAACAAAGATTAATATAGTGGCGGGAGGAGAGTCGTTTTTATGACGTTTCATCATTTTGACAGATAAATGACAGGTGAAGTTCCTAAGCAAGATAACAGACCTTAAATTTGTGAAATCAGATATGTTTATTTTGTATAAAGCTAGCAGAGAAAATATACATGGTACCTACACAGACTGTTTAAAAAAAGTCTGTAACGCGTAAAGACCACGTTATGTATTGAAGACATAAAAGAGACTTAATAGGCTATGTATGTGTGGCTCTCGGTGGCTCTACATGCAGCGCCATTTTTCCAAGGGTATTTTTCTTTTTTCCAAGAGTCCCATTGGATAATAACAACAATCACGTCACGCATGTCGGACCCCAGATGTAGCTGTCTGCTCTGTTTGCCGGAAAAAAGGTAACGTGATAAAGTTACCGATCTACAAAAATGTGCAAGAAGTACCGGTGGCAACAATTTTCTTTTGATTTATTGAAAACTTGAGAAGTTGTCAACAAAAACCTGGGTCCTCCCCCGATAGGGATCGTTTAAATACAAGGAATGGCGGCTTCGGCCCACCGCCTATCTGGCAGGACCACGGCAGCAGCACAACCACACACGTCACGCTGTCCAGGCACCGCTGTGATATGAGTTAATCTGAGAGACAGTGGAGCACAAAGGCTCCGGAGAAGAAGCCGAGTTAGTGACATCCAGAATGGCCGAGTTAGCANCCATTCAGAGTAAGTTACCATGGTGATCTACCCCGATAAGAACTGAACCGGCTTCGTGAGACCAAAAACCCAGGGTTAACCCTGAAGTTACCTCGGTAAGTCAAAATCCTGCTTCGTGATACAGGCCCCTGGAGAGATGATCCCGGACGAGCCCCTAATTTATGTTACGCACCCGCCTAGGGGTCGGGAAGTGGAACATAAAAATGAGCCGACACAAGGTAATGCATGACAAAAAAGGTGAGTTTATTCACCATCACACAAATAGAAACACAGTTTTATAAATAAAGAAGCTTTTCTTCAGGGTGAGCCCAGGCCAAAACAACAAATAAAACAAACTATCTTCCCCAAAGCACTAACTAAACCCTGTGTGAAAGAAAAGAAACAAAAATACAATCACTAAACCTAACTTCCTAACCTAAACAAAAACAGTTCAACGTAAATGGCAACTCACCCCTACTGCTTAGTGCTATACAAATATTTACAAGTGACGTGCAATTGACGAAGAAAAATGCTGTTTAGTGCTGCAATGGGTCGGCTGCAGACAAACGGCTCACCGCTCGTAGCAGCAGGACACAAACAACAATCTAACAGTTCAGCTAAGGCTCACCGCTCTCCAGTCAAAAAAACACAATAGAACCAGTTTACAAAAGCACAGGCAGGTTTGGCGTCGGGACGAGGAGGAACGCTGCTGTCAAAATGATCGCATCCCGGAGAGCACACCAGACAACCCAGAAGTCCAGGTAAAAAAGTTCATAGTGATGGCCCTCAAGATCCCGACAGAGACTGTCAACAACATCACCTTTCACCGCGTCCACAGGCTCGGACCCTGAGGAGGTCAGCGTCCTCGTCCGATCATCGCCAATTTCGAACATTATCAGCAGAAAATGCTCGTTAAGAGTAAAGGACGAGAGCTAAAAGGCACCTCATTCGGTATGAACGATCAGTTCCCCAGGGAAATCAACGAGAGGCGGAAAGTGTTATATCCCATCCTAAAAGAGCACAGGCAGAGGGGAAATAGGACCTCTCTTGTGGTCGATAAATTATACATAGATGGGCAGCTGTTCCGGCACCCTACCACCACCCCATGGCTCTTCTAAATGAGATAAGTGCCCCTAAAACCACAAATCAAAGTAGAATCATGGCTTAATTGTATTATAAAAGGGAAAAAAAAAAGATGTGTGTATGCATGTATATATATTGGGGCGGCACTATTTTGAAAAAAAAAAACATCCATACATCATTATTTTCATTATCTCTGAAAAATATATCAAAATGGCTAAGATGCGACTATTGCAGGGATCTGTACAAAACAGAGACGTCTTCTTAAGTCTGCAGAATATAATATATAACCCACAACATCTCTGCAGCCTGACAATATTTAACCTAATATTTCATTTAAAATGGTATTTTGACACATTTCTCCTGCAACAAATAATTAAGCATTCCTACGATTGTGATGCGATGAATTGTGCGGCCCCCATATGTATCTATGTGTATATGTAGATGTATATTTATGTACATGTGGACATATGGATATATATGTATATGTAATGAACACAACACTGAACTAGTGAAAAGGAAAAAAGAAAAAAGAAAAAAAAAATCTCACAAGGTGTGAACATACACTTCACATACTCCATCTAGAATTCTCCCCTTTCTTCTCTTCTTTTTTTCTATCTTCCATGTCGTCCGGCATTCGCTCACAGGCGAAAAAAATTAAAGTGATGGACTTTGTCACAAAACTGAAAACAGATATTTTTCTCCTACAAGAAACCCACTTACTAAAGTCAGAAGAAAAATCTCTTAAAGATCTAAATTTTAATCAAATTTTTTCATCCTGCTATAACAGCAGACAAAGAGGTGTCTCTATCATGGTCCACAAGAGACTACCGTTTACTTTAAACAGCACGGTAACAGACCCAGAAGGCCGCTACATAATGATGTAGCGGCTGACTAATAATGATTCTGAATAATGATTCAGTCAACAATCTTTAACAAATTATATACAATCATTAATCTGTATGCCCCTAATAATGATGATCCAGCCTTCTTTCACACAGTCTTCTCTCTACTATCTAGCCTATCAGACAGCTCGACAACTATAATCAGAGGAGACTTTAACACAGTCCTAAATTCATCATTAGACCAATCTAGTAACTCAGCACACACAAAGCAATCACAATCGGCTAAGGTAATACAGGAATATATGGATGATTTTGGGCTTGACAATGGCTGGAGACTCAAATACCCATCGAAGAGGGAATATACTTTCTTCTCTCCGGTGCATCGCTCATTTTCAAGAATTGACTTTTTTCTCTTAAATAACTCCATCTCACAAAAAATTACCACAAAAATACACCCGATCATTATCAGTGACCATGCACCAATATCACTCAATCTGCAAATAGAAACCATCCATAAACGGTCCCCAACATGGCGCTTTAATATCTCATTACTTAAAGACCCAGACTTTGACAAAATGGTGAGACGGGAGTGGGCAAACTTTCTTGAAGATAATGACTCTCCAAATTTATCTCCATCTTTAATATGGGAAGCTGGGAAGGCAGTAATCAGAGGAAAAATTATATCGTTCTCCTCCTACAAGAAGAAACAGGAATTGCAAGCAGAAAAAAACATTGAGGAAAAAATCAAACAACTAACACAGGAATATGCAAACAATCCAAGTGATCAAGTATGGAGCCAATTACAGTGTACAAAATTGCAACTGGACAATATTCTATCAAAGAAAACTGAATTTATCATTCAGCAGCTAAGATATAATAACTTTGAACACAGTAACAAATCAGGAAAATTTTTGGCTAATCAGCTCCAACGCAATAAAGAAAAATCTCTGATACCAACAATCCAGGGGCCGTCCGGAAATTATACACAATCTCCTCAGGAGATCAATCAGATTTTCTATTCTTTCTACCATAACTTATATTCAACAGTAAACAATCCAAACCCAGAAGATATTCAGGCTTTTCTCGATAACCTAAATTTACCTCAGTTATCCACGGAACACAGAAATATGTTAGACGCCCCCCTGACTATTAATGACCTGCAGAGCGCATTAGACAAAATGCCAACAGGTAAGGCTCCAGGTCCAGACGGCTTTCCTGCCGAATTTATAAAACATTTCTGGACAATATTAGCACCACTTTTCATCAGGACAGTGACAGAGATCAAAAAGAACGGAGGTATAAGACCTCACATGAATACAGCAGCAATCAAATTATTACTAAAGCCAGACAAAGACCCCACACTTCCTTCTAGCTACCGTCCTCTATCACTAATTAACAGTGATATCAAAATTATCTCAAAGGCACTTGCTTCTAGACTGGAGAAAATAATCGCATCAATAATTCATAATGATCAAACGGGCTTCATTAATGGCAGACACTCAAGCAATAATGTCAGAAGAGTTCTTAATCTGATAAGTAAAGCACAACGCGTTAATACAAAAGCAATTATTTTGTCACTTGATGCAGAAAAAGCCTTCGACAAGGTCAACTGGTCCTTCCTATTTGCCACCCTGAGTGGATTTGGCTTTGGAGAGTCATTTATCCAGTGGGTATCAGCCTTATACAATTCCCCTAAGGCCACAGTCACCACCAACGGGATCACATCTAAAAGCTTCATTTTGCAGAGAGGAACCAGACAAGGGTGCCCACTCTCGCCTCTACTGTTTGCAATATTCATCGAACCATTGGCTATGGCAGTCCGTCAGAACAGCAAGATCATAGGTATCCATTCCGCCAATTCAGAGCATAAAATTAATCTATATGCCGACGACATTTTACTTTATCTACAAGAACCGAAATCGTCTTTACATGAAGTATTTAATCTCATAACACATTTTTCTAAACTTTCGGACTACTCCATCAACTGGTCCAAATCGACAATAATGCCAATAACGGAGAACTCTTGGAATCCTGCAGACCAAAAATTTTCTCTCCCTGCGGGCAACATAAGATATCTTGGCATAAATATTTCACCCAAACTATCAGACCTGGTCCACCTGAACTTTAGCCCGCTGCTAGATAAGATCTGTGGTGACCTGAAGCGCTGGAATAATCTTCCCATCTCCCTCCTGGGACGAATAGCCACAGTTAAGATGAAAATTCTACCCCAAATTAACTATTTTTTTTCCATGATTCCATTCACACCCACATCAAAATGGTTCCTGTCATTAGATTCTGCAATTATAAAATTCTACTCAAAGAACAAAACAGCAAAAATTAGCCTAAGCACCCTTCAGAAAAACAAATTGGAAGGGGGATTGGACGCTCCTAACTTTAAACATTACTATTTAGCTAACCAGCTACAATACCTATTGAAATGGTTATATCCTAACGAAGACTACAACTCCTGGCTCGAACTAGAACAGGCGGACTGCAACAATATAAAACTCTCTGACCTCCCGTTTATCACCACTACACTCAGACGTCATAACTGTTTTAAGAACCCAATGATTGCTTCCACCTTATCAGCCTGGTGGAAAACACTAGAAATCACAAACTCTCCGATAGAACCTTGCTTGCTCTCTCCAATTTGGCACAACCCGGATTTTGAAATTAACAAAAGACCTCTCCATTTTAGCACATGGGAGATGAAGGGAGTAACTCATCTCCATCACCTTTTCCAAGACAATATACTTATGACATACACAAACTTATTTCAAACTTTTGAAATAAGAAATGGCAATTTTCTACAATATTTACAATTGATAAAAACAATCAAGAGGAGAATTCCAGCGCCTCAGGACACTTTGCAGCCACCAGAATTTGCCAAACATATTACAAAGCTTTCTCCGAGTAATAAGAAGAACCTTTCTAAGATTTATAAATTACTGTCAAAGACCAGTTCTATACATTTACCAACTTTAAAATGGGAAAAAGAACTGGGTGTATCACCGGACCCTGACTTCTGGACTCAGATATGCAAAAATACATTTAAGATGACAAGAAACACTAATATACAACTTATCCAATTTAAAGTACTCCACAGAACACACATCACCCAACAAAAGATGAATAGAACGGGCTTCAGTCAGTCTGACATATGCACTCAGTGTACTCAGAACACTGCAGACACCTACTTTAATGCTCTCTGGTTACGTTCACCCGTCCAGCACTTCTGGTCAACAGTCACTCAAAAACTCTCCTCCATTTTGGACTGCAGGATCCCATTATCTCCCAACCTGTGCTTAATTGGTGACCTGATGACAATTGACCTCCCAAACAGCCACTGCAATTCTCTTCTAGTAGCTCTCGCCATCGCCAAGAAAACAATCCTAGTCAATTGGAAAGATACAGACCCTCAACATCAACCATTGGCTGAATCTACTTGAAGAACATATTTCGCTGGAAAATATCTGCTGGCCACAGAAACCAATTAACATAGTTTACAGAAAATTGGTCACCATTTATCTACTCACTAAATGTGTCTGTACAGTGCCACTCAGCCTGTGAGCATATGCAACCTGTACATACATGTATAAATATTACAACTCAAGAAAAACTGTTGTGTAATATGTAATGTGTTGTTAAGTGCACCCTCTCTCCCTTGAATCCGGGCCTGCTCCCTGACTCTGTGGGGGATCGCGGGGCCGGGCGGTTTTCCCCTGGGGGGCGGGTGCGTCTGGACTCCTCGCCCTGTGTGCCTGGGGTTGGCGGGGTCTCCTTGTGTTCCCTGGGCCCGGGGCGGCGTGGCCGGTCCGCCCTGGGGGGCTGTTTCCGCCCCTGGTTGTGCGCGGTGGTTGGGCTCCTCCTCCCCCCGCCCCTCACTCCTCTCCCACCCTTCCCCCTCTCTCCCCCCTCTCCCCGTCCCTCCCTGCTCCTCTCTCCCCGCCTCGGGCGGGCCTGGGGCCCCCCCCCGGGCTGGGGGCCTGGTGCGGGGGCTGGGTGCCACCCACGGGGGGGTGTTCTGCTGCCGCGCAGAGTGGGCCTGCCCGTTGGTGTGCGGCCGGCGGTGGGGGGCGGGTCGGGTGGGCTGGGGGTCCAGCTTTGGGTCTGGGGCAGTCTGGGGGGGTACTGGCAGGGTTGCGGGTTGGCCTGTGCTCCTGCGTGCCGGGGTCCGGGGGGCTGGGTGGGGCCCGTCGTCCGCGCGTCCTGGTGGCGTGCCTCGTCCTTCTGCTGGGGGTCGGTTTGCTGCGGGCGGTGTGACCCAGGTCGGGACTGTCGAAGGGGCCTCACGCTGCAGTTGCTTGGGGGGTGGGGTTCGGTGGGGGCTTGTTGGGTTTCCTTGGAGCCCACCTGGCCCGCTGCCCATGGGCTTTGGGGGCCTCGCGGTGCCGGGGTCTGGTTGGCACCACCTTCTAGCCCCTCTCATCCATCCCTCCGGCCTTTGGGCTGGGCCTACACTGGCCTGGCCTCCTAAACCACATTTAGTTCACCAACCACACATTTCACAGTTTTAACGGACCACATACATTCACTGTGTTGGGCGGCGGGTGGGTGTGTGTCTGGCTCTGGGGTGTGTCTCTGGCTCTCTGGGGGTGCTGGCCTCTGCCGCCCGGGTCCTAGGGCCTGCGTGGTGTCCTGCAGCCTCTGCGGCTCCCTGGGCGTGGGGTCTGGGCGCTCCTGCGGCCTTGGGGTGCCTCACCGCCCGCCTTCTCCCACAGGGCTGGGACATTGGCCCTGGTCCCTGGTGATGGTTTTCATAAACACAGTGGGAGGGTTCAAATACACGCATGCATGTTCGATACTTCAGCTCCGTGACGCATCGCAAAAAACCGATGGGATCACTCAAAAGGGGCTCAGTTGCTTCTCAAACCTACCACACTGCGCTGGCAACTCTTCTCCACAATTGGGCTTTCCTCCACCACCAGGACTCTCACATTTCTGGTGTTCAGTATAGACTTCTCTTTTGTTTTGTTTTTATTGTTTTGTTTTTTTTCTTCTCTTTATTATACAGTTATTTGTTTATTTTTGGTAATCTGTATGGAGCACAACAACCTCAAGGCCACAATACATCAGCTACACTGCCTGTTTCTCCTCTTTTTTTTTTTTTTTTTGTTTTGTTTTTGTTTTGTTTGTATGTTTGTTTGTTTGTTTGCTTGTTTGTTTGTTTTCTCCTTCTTCTCCGCATGCACTGTCGCTATATAACTCAGGACTTAAGCACCTGTCCCTCAATCACCCCTGTCTGTCCCTTACTTTCCCCTTGACACACTATGGTGTATCACAGCCCTCTCTGGCTCGTATTAGGAAGTTTTTCCAATAAAGGCTGCTAGGCTAGTCTCCAGGGAGGGTGGGTGACGGTCACAACCACACACAGTATGGGTATAAAATACTTGACTGCAAGATTAACAGTGCATCAATCTTCATAAAAAGCTTACACTCTTTTGTGGCGCTAAGCTACGAAGACTAATGCAGAAAAGTTTGAAAAAAAAAAAAAAAAAAAAAAAGGCCAAGCCCCCGCGACAACCAATCAGCAGCAGCCACGACCAGAGCCAAGCCCTCGCGACAGCCAATCGGCAGCAGCCACGACCAGCCAGAACCCACCACTCAGAGAAGGAGACGGGTGGCACCTGGCACAGATCCTCAGAAAAAGAAGAGGTCTTACTCTCACATAAAAAAAAAAATATACATGCAATAAATGTTACAATATATGGCCGCAGCCGTAACAGGTGGCTGGTTGATTTTTAGTTCATTTATTTATTTATTTTGATCCCCCCTATGTTAATCACTTATTGATGCTGTTTTTGAAGTATGAATAAGTCAGTAAGTAATTTATTCCATTGAAATATCATTGATGTATTATAGAAAAGTGATTTATCTTTTTATAAATGACAAAAGGCACATCTGCTTCATTTTTGCTGTGGTATCGTGATACTACTCAGAACCATGATATTTTCACTGGTATCGTACCATGGGTCCCAATTTTGGTACCATGACAACACTAATCTGGAGGGGGTTCATCTGCAAAAACTAATGAAAAACTAATCAACGGTATTCGGTACTCGGTATTCGGCCAAGCGTTTAATTTTATTCAGCTTCAGCTTCGGCCACAAATTTTCATTTCGGTGCATCCCTAGAAATCAGTGTTGCATAGCCTGAAGCATCTGCAACTACACACATCCATGTTTAAGCATTAACATCTCTCTGAATGTTTATGGATCCTGTGTGCGTATGTGTGCATTTTGGGTCTGTGTGTGTGTGTGTGTGTGTGTAAAATAATGAAGTGGGGGGCAAAAAAAACTTTTTTTTTCAAATTATTTTTTCTACTTCTTCTGAAATTGCCAATTTTACATATTCTAATGTGCACATTGGTTGTTTTTAAATAAATAATGTTTATTTTGCTTTGCTTATTAAATTTATCATTTTATGAGGTACACCACCTTAAATTGATGAACACAACAAAATAGCAGTTTCTTATACATTGTTTTAAATTATGGCAATGTTTTGACTGTTGCATATACAGTACAGGCCAAAAGTTTGGACACACCTTCTCATTCAATGCGTTTTCTTTATTTTCATGACTATTTACATTGTAGATTCTCACTGAAGGCATCAAAACTATGAATGAACACATGTGGAGTTATGTACTTAACAAAAAAAGGTGAAATAACTGAAAACATGTTTTATATTCTAGTTTCTTCAAAATAGCCACCCTTTGCTCTGATTACTGCTTTGCACACTCTTGGCATTCTCTTGATAAGCTTCAAGAGGTAGTCACCTGAAATGGTTTTCCAACAGTCTTGAAGGAGTTCCCAGAGGTGTTTAGCACTTGTTGGCCCCTTTGCCTTCACTCTGCGGTCCAGCTCACCCCAAACCATCTCGACTGGGTTCAGGTCCGGTGACTGTGGAGGCCAGGTCATCTGCCGCAGCACTCCATCACTCTCCTTCTTGGTCAAATAGCCCTTACACAGCCTGGAGGTGTGTTTGGGGTCATTGTCCTGTTGAAAAATAAATGATCGTCCAACTAAACGCAAACCGGATGGGATGGCATGTCGCTGCAGGATGCTGTGGTAGCCATGCTGGTTCAGTGTGCCTTCAATTTTGAATAAATCCCCAACAGTGTCACCAGCAAAACACCCCCACACCATCACACCTCCTCCTCCATGCTTCACAGTGGGAACCAGGCATGTGGAATCCATCCGTTCACCTTTTCTGCGTCTCACAAAGACACGGCGGTTGGAACCAAAGATCTCAAATTTGGACTCATCAGACCAAAGCACAGATTTCCACTGGTCTAATATCCATTCCTTGTGTTTCTTGGCCCAAACAAATCTCTTCTGCTTGTTGCCTCTCCTTAGCAGTGGTTTCCTAGCAGCTATTTGACCATGAAGGCCTGATTAGCGCAGTCTCCTCTTAACAGTTGTTCTAGAGATGGGTCTGCTGCTAGAACTCTGTGTGGCATTCATCTGGTCTCTGATCTGAGCTGCTGTTAACTTGCGATTTCTGAGGCTGGTGACTTGGATGAACTTATCCTCAGAAGCAGAGGTGACTCTTGGTCTTACTTTCCTGGGTCGGTCCTCATGTGTGCCAGTTTAGTTGTAGCGCTTGATGGTTTTTGCGACTCCACTTAGGGACACGTTTAAAGTTTTTGCAGTTTTCCGGACTGACTGACCTTCATTTCTTAAAGTAATGATGGCCACTCGTTTTTCTTTAGTTAGCTGATTGGTTCTTGCCATAATATGAATTTTAACAGTTGTCCAATAGGGCGGTTGGCTGTGTATTAACCTGACTTCTGCACAACACAACTGATGGTCCCAAACCCATTGATAAAGCAAGAAATTCCACTAATTAACCCTGATAAGGCACACCTGTGAAGTGGAAACCATTTCAGGTGACTACCTCTTGAAGCTCATAGAGAGAATGCCAAGAGTGTGCAAAGCAGTAATCAGAGCAAAGGGTGGCTATTTTGAAGAAACTAGAATATAAAACATGTTTTCAGTTATTTCACCTTTTTTTGTTAAGTACATAACTCCACATGTGTTCATTCATAGTTTTGATGCCTTCAGTGAGAATCTACAATGTAAATAGTCATGAAAATAAAGAAAACGCATTGAATGAGAAGGTGTGTCCAAACTTTTGGCCTGTACTGTATGTTAAAGGAGGCAATGACTGTTTTTGTTTGTTTTGTTTCTGTTTTTTTTTTCCTTTTTTCTTTTATAATTTTACACTTAACTATTTGAGGTAATGATGTGTCTTCTTCGGCAGAGCACTGACAACTGTTGACCCATTGTGCTATTTAAATTTGAGGACTTGAAGTTGTCACACACAGAAGGCAAACCTACCGTGGATGTTGTGGTCCACAGCGCAGTAGAGCCAGTATGGGCTGGAAGAATGAAATGATCATTACCAGGCAGCCTAACACAGCATGGGCTCCCTGAAAGCAGCACACAGCAACACAGCATTCAGTGCAATGATCCTATCACAACATTTACTTCCAATGGCTAAAATATGTATCAAAGGATAATATTTGAAGAATATTGGGACAAAATAAGGGTAACATTTAAGTGCAACATTAAAGTACAGACTGTTTACAAATATGGACAACTCTTCTCCACTTCCCTTCCCAGTACAAAAATGAAACCCAAATATCAATCAATCAATCAATCAATCTTATTTATAAAGCCCAATATCACAAATCACAATTTGCCTCAGAGAGCTTTACAGCATATGACATCCCTCTGTCCTTTGGACCATCACAGTGGAAGAGTGCAGTGTTCTGGGGATTTAATAGGGCACTATGAGCTCTCTTAGATATGACGGAGCCTGACCATTTAGAGCTTTGTAAGTTAGGAGAGGGATTTTAAATTAATTTCTGGATTTTACAGGGAGCCAGTGCAGAGAAGCTAAAACAGGAGAAACGTGATCTTGTTTCTTAGTTCCTGTCAGTAGACGTGTGGCCACATCCTGGATTAGCTGGAGAGTTTTTAAAGACATATTAGAGCTACCTGAATTAACAGTAATCCAGCCCAGAGGTAACAAAAGCATGGACCAATTTTTCTGCATGCTTTTGGGACAGGATAGGCCTAATTTTTGCAATATTACACAGATGAAAGAACACAGTCCGTGAAGTTTGTTTTATATGAGTTAAAAGACAAATCTTGATCAAATATTACTCTGAGTTTCCTTATGGTAGTGCTAGAGGGCAGAGCAATGCCATCCAGAGAAACTATATCATCAGATAAAGAGTTTCTCAGTTGTTTGGGGCTGAGAACAATAACTTCAGTTTTGTCTGAATTTAACATAAGGAAATTGGAGCTCATGCAGGTTTTTATGTCTTTAAGGCATTTTTGAAGTTTAGTTAATTGATCCGTT